ATTGACAAAATTAAAAGGTTTAGGACTGAATTGGCTGTCGTACAATAGGTCTAGGACTTTTTGGACAAATTTCCCATTCTCTTTCTTGCCAATGTTTGGTGAATTAGAATGAGACCGAATGGAAATGAAACTCGAGAAGGAAAATCGTTTGCATTGTTGCATTTTCATTACTATGGAGGAAAAGAACAAGGACAAGTCAAAAAAAAAGAAAAAAGAAAGTGGATAATGGATCATTAGCCACTGCCTTTTTTTTCTTGTTCGACACGCCGTGGATGACCACGCGTAGGCCTCCTTACCTCCTCCTCCTTCGGCACCGTAACGAGCAGAAGTCAAACGTGCGTCTTCCAAAGCCACTTCGTTGTCTCTCCCGGCTCTCTTTCCATTGATCCGTAGAATCCTTCTCTGCTCGACCTTTCCACCTTCTCTTTGCTCAATCCAAGCATGTTGGCTTTGAACACATGTACGGTCGGAGTCTCCTCCCAATTGACGAAACCTTGCGTGAACGGCCTCACCGTGGAGTCACTTTTGGCTTTCGAGTCTGGCTTTGAGATCGACTTCCCCCATCTGACCTCGCCAAGATGGTGTAAGGTTATACTATCTTTGAAATGGATAAATATAATTTATAGAAACTTCTGTCTACTGATTAATATAATAAAAATTGTAAATTGTGTTATTATACTAAAATAAAAAAAATTGTTTTTTAAGTACAAATGAGTTACAATTAAATAATAAAATAACAAAGAGAGAGGACGGTATGGATTGTTTGTATCCGTAGGAACTAGTCAAACCGCAATATTTGAATACCCCGTGTTATTAAAAAAAAGAAAAGAAAAGATAAATGAGGGGCAATAAATTAATGCATAAATGTCTAGCGATGTCAGGACAAATTAAAAATTAACATTGGCCACAAAAAGTTGCAGCCGTATTCTTTTCTTTTTGTGACCCCCGGATTTAATATTCACATAATAACTAGATGCAAGAGAAAACAAATGAATTTTTCATATTTGAATGTTAAGGTCTATCAACAAAACAAAATCATAGTGATACCCGGTGAATCGTAATGCAAGCTAAGGGCCTTTCTATCTTGGTATACCACATCGATGTTTTTAAAGATTTCAAAAAGATAAAAAGCAAAGAAAGAAAAAAAATCGAACTGGAAAATCTATAAACCAAACGAAAATTGATGTTTGTTTTCTTTTTGGTGATCTCTCACTTGGGTTTAGCTTAGTTTAGCTTCCCAATTAATACTATTAGAAATTCCAAATTGGTACCCCAAAAACTAATTTTCATCTCACTAAAAATTTTAATTTGGTACCCCAATAATACATTTACCCAAAACTAATTTTACTCATAAAAAATCCCAAACTAATATCCCACAATACAATTACCCAAATCTAATTTTCGTCTTACGAAAAAATTCAAATGGGTACTCCTTACCAAATTCTGCCTTCCATTGGCATTCCATTCAATAGCATATTTGTCAATACATGTGGCAAATAATTACTATACGGATCTACCATGGACCGTGATAGATATGATATAAAAATTCATGTGTGTTGACAAATATGTATTTCAAAGGAGGGTAATTTTGGGTCAGGAGTACCAGTTTGGGGTTTTTTTTTGTGAGATTGGGGTAAATGTGTCATGGGGTGTACTAGTTTGGGATTTTACTGGTATTAACCTCTTTTTTTTTTAATGAAAGTCTCAAAACTAATTATTTTCTTTAGATGGATCTCAAAAACTATTAACCTGTGGAAGGTGATAAAGTTCTTATGGACAATGGGAAAATTATCCAACAAGTCCCAAACATGTTGTACTTTTTCTAATCCAGTTCTAAATCTTTCAATTTTGCTAATTGAGTATTAAATCTTTTTACGTTTTGCCAATTGAGTCAATCCGATCAATTTTGGCAAGAAATTACTAACATGGACGCTGGGCATCATACGTGGTGCGACAGGTGTTGACATGGATAATTTTTAATAAGATTTTAATATTTTTTCGAATTCATTTAATCTTTTATTTATTTATTTTTTCTTCCCTTCTTCATCTAGCTGGTCGCCACGCCTCACTGATGGCTGACGATTGACCAAAGGCAAGGTCGACCTCACCGGTCCTTGCCAATGGAAGAAAAAAAAGAAAGAAAAGAAAAAGAAAAAGAAAAAAGAAAAACATAATAAATAAATTCAAAAAAATATTAAAATATTATTTAAAAAATTCCACGTTAGTGCCGGCTGGGCCACATAGGATGGTTGGCATTTATGTCAGCGATCAAAATTAGCTGGATGGATTCAATTGGCAAAATGTGAAAATGTTTAGGATTCAATCGAAAAAATTGAAAGGTTTAAAACTGAATTGGCAAAAGTGCAATAGTTTTAGGACTTCTTGGACAATTTTCCCTATGGACAGTACTCAGTGATAGAGCTAGAATTTTAGTGGAGGGGGCGAAATATTCAACGTGATTGATTTAAAGGTTTAATTAATATTTTTTATCATATTAATTGTAGGAAAGAGAACCATGTAATAGCTTAGAAGAAAAATGTAAAATAATAAAACATAGTTTGTTTTGGACTGAGATAAAAATACTAAACAGCACTATTGAAATAATCGTAGTTAATGGTGTATTTTAAGTTTATTTTACGAAAATTCATCATTTTTAAGGACACCAAAAAGCTAATAATAAGAAAATCAGTATCCATAAGAAAAATGCACACGTTACCTGGGTGCAAGAGAAAACGACAATTAATTTGATGCTGTAGAATTATTTTGCTTTATATACATTCTAATGTAGCAGCATCTTAATGTCCATGTTGTACATAGAAAGGATCTAATATCAAGAAAACTTAAATTTCCGCATCAACTTCAGTAGATAAACAATAATGCTAGTGAGGATAAAATGAAAATGATGCTTTTAAGCTCCGCTTGTTTCGCAGAAAATAACTTTGAGGAAAATATTTTCCGTATTTTCCGACGTTCGATTTATGGAAAATAAACTACTCAAGGAAAATATTTTCCCTCAATGGAAAAAACAACTTCAAAAGTGAGGGAAAATATTTTTATCTTTTTTGAAAAGAGGAAATTATTTTCCCTCCTTCTTTCACTATTCATTTTAATTATTTTAATAATTTTTATTAAACTTCTAATTTTTAATTATTTGTTCTTTTTTTTTTTACTTCTTCGCCATGGTTGGTTGCCGGCCATGGCGAAGGCCGGCGACCGGCCGAAGAAGAAGGTAAAAAAAAAAAGAACAAACAATAAAGAAAAATAAAAGAAAAAGGTAATTAAAAATAATTAAAAATCAATTTAAAAAAATAAAAAATATTAAAAGTAGTGCACGGAGGAAAATCTATTCCATACCAAATAGCGGAAAGTATTTTCCGGATCTTTTTTAGATTTTAGCAGAATATCGAAAACTTGTGTTATTTTCCTTAAAGGTAGCTTTCTGAAAACGTTACATATTTCGCGAAACGATCGGATACTTAGGACCCGTTTGGTAACGTGCCAAATAGTAAAAATTTCTGTTCTTTTGTTCCCAGAAATAGTTTGGGAACAGAAATGCGTTTGGTAAACTTTTTGTTCCTCGGCACATTTTTGCAAAAATTTGTGCCGAGAACAAGATTTTGGAAGAGAAACAAGAAGTAAAAAAGTTGCTTCTTGTTTCTCGGCACAATTTGAGAATCAGTTTTTTTCTTTTCTTATTTTGTGGTGTTGTTCTTGGTTGAGGCCGCCGCCGCCGGCCACCGGCCGGGGACCGGCGACCCGGCCATAGCCCGGGGCCGGCGAGGGCGTCACGGCCCTTGCCGGCGAGGGCGAGGGCTGGACCCTCGCCGCCTGGGCGAGGCGGCCTCGCCCGGATCGAGCGAGGCCGAGCCTCGCCGTCGGTCGCGACGGCGAGGTCGGCCTCGCCCAGAGGCGGCGAGGGTCCGCCTCGCCCTCGCCGGCGAGGCGACCCTCGCCTCCGCCGGCGGCCGGCGAGGTCCGTGACGCCCTCGCCGGCCCTGGGGGCTGTGGCGGTCGCCGGCGACCGGCCATGGCCAAAGAAGAAAGTAAAAGAAAAAAATTTAAACAATTCAAAATATTATTAAAATATTATTTGGGAACAGAAATTTTGTGTAGTTACCAAACGCATTTCTGTTCTTTTCTACTCTAGGAATAGAAATTTTGGACATTTATCAAACGCCTTCAAATACTCAGAAATTGTTTCCGGGCACAGAATAAAAAAAAATCATTTCTGTTCAGAAATAGCGCCCGGGCACAGAATGGTATTCATGCGCACCCTTAGTTCCTACGTTTTTCTTTAGTTTTCTCTTCTTCTTTTTTTCAGTCAAAATGCCTGCTAACGGAATTGAACGTGGTTGAGAAAGTGACTATCAAAATAAAGCTATTTTGATCGTTTTAAATATTGGACTTTATAAAATGAAAAGGACGGGCAATATATTTAAAATCAGACTTTATGTATAATATGGACGTGGGACTTTTGCCCCACTTTCAGTCATTCATCATAGAGGTTAGTGTGGTAATTTCCATTACCTCATTTTCTATGCTTTCCGTACCCACTTTCTCTACCGCCATGCCTTTCTCGCTCCCCCGGTACAAATTTTTAATGAAAGGCTAATTTCCTAAAAAAATCCTAACTTTAAGTTAAATATTAATTTTATCTCGAAATTTTTTTAAAAAAAATTTAAACTTTTACTTTAACCTCAAATTTATTCACGTGTCCAAAAATCACAACAAGTTTCTTTAAAATTATTAATATCAATGCCAGTTAGAAATTTATTATTGTGAGTTACGTCTTTATCAATACTCTAGAACAATAATAGTCTTGTGTGGACATATATGAGATTATAGTGAAAATTGAGGATTTTTAAATAAAAAGAAACTTCAGGACAAAATTGAAAGTAGACCTAAAATTTAGGATTTTTTTAGGGAATTAATCTTTTTGATCCATTTTTAATCCCCTTTCGCTTGACTTGTCAACTCTTGCATCTTCCACTGGCATTGACTTGGCGAGTCTTGCATCTTCCCCTGGCATTCACTTCTGATCAATTTTTGATCTGATATCCTAAGATCCAACTTCGGGAGGTGATTCAAATGAAGCGAAAGATCTCTTCCTGTAGCATCGACAGTGAGCGAGAGAGGGAGGCGACGGCCCCCAACTCGTCTGTGAGAAAGCTGGTTAGTTCCGCTTCCCCGTGTTTGTGCGTTTCTTTCGTTCTTTTGATTTTTCTGGGTTACGTCTGTGTGAGGATGAGGACTGTTGATTCAGCTGGTATATGCTCAGATCTGAATCTTCAGTGCAAACGTTATCTTTGGACTGCAATAAAGGATAACATTTCTTGATCTTGATTTGGTATTCAAATCGGCTAGATCTCATATCCTTTTCAGAACATCGTCAATGAACCTAGATCGGATGGGATCAACTCTTTTTCTTTCCTTTTGTTTTGGTTTTTTTTGTACTTTCTAAAGCAACTTCATTTGTCTCAGATCAGAACATCCCAGTCAAGGCCTTTATGCCTCCACTTGTTGCTTTTGTTACTCTGCCGAAATTTATCTAAAACGAAGTGGCAACTTGTGATAAAGTTCGCCTTTTTCATTTTACAGGGGTTGGTCTCTTCACCGCCTTCACCGTCCCCGCTGTCGCTGCCCTCTCCGTCGCCGCGGCCGCCTCCTCCATCCCTGCCTCCGCCTCCGCCTCCGCCCTCGCTGCCTCCATCATCATCGCGGCCGCCGTCATCCATCTCTACCTCATCAAGAAACAATTACGAAGTGTTCTTGAGTTTTAGAGGTCCCGATACTCGCAAGGGATTTGCAGATTGCCTCTACACCAGCCTGATTAATGCAAGGATCATTGTCTTTAGAGACGATAATGAACTTGATCCTGGAGATAATATCCCTGATGCATTGGTTCAATCCATAAAGCAATCCAAGATATCAATACCCATTATCTCCAAGGATTATGCATCCAGTAAGAGTTGTCTCATGGAATTGGCACAAATGGTTGAATGCAACGAAGCAGACGCTCAACTGATCGTGCCCATTTTCTATGATATTGACCCCGCTGATTTAAAATACCAACGTGGATGTGTTGGGGAGTCCTTCAGTAAACACGAGAGCCGTGGAATTGACCGCGAGGTCATTAAAAAATGGAAGGAGGCTCTCGAAAAGATTACTGTGACGAAGGGTCATGATCTGCGGAATACAGAAATTGGGTAATCATCTTTTTACTGTCCTTTTAATTTTATTAGCTTTATCCTTATGAGAATTTTGCCAAGCACAATGTTTTTGAAATCAGTAATTGGATGGGACTGGATTTTTTTTTGATAATGAGGTAAATGTGCTTTCCGTGTCCTTCTTGTTGTTGCCCACTGCATCGTCCTTGTTGGTCAATTTAGTACGGTTTAACTGGATAATTTCCTTCGTAATTTTCGTAGACTGTTATTAATTATTTTGTAATCTCATCATGATTCCTTATTTTCATCATCACATTTGGCAGTCATGGTGCACTCATAAAGAAAGTTGTTTCCGATATTCTAGAGTGGTTGAAGAAGAATGATTTAGATGTGACTGACGGTTTAGTGGGCATGGAACCCCGCGTACGGGAGGTTATGAAAACGCTTGGTGTCATCTATGTCAATGAGCAGGCAACCGGAGTATATGACAAAGATGTACGTGTACTTGGGATATGCGGCATGCCAGGGATTGGCAAGACTACCCTTGCAAAGGTTGTGTACAACAAAATCCATAGTCTCTTTCAACGTTGTAGTTTTCTTTCAAATATTCACGAAAATGTTGCATTTAATGGACTCATGGGCCTCCAAGAACAGTTAATCTCAGACCTCCGAAGGCAAGAGTTTACAAGGCTAGAAACTCTTGACAAAAAAACTGAAGCCATAAAAATTTCATTGAGAGGAATGAAAGTTCTCATTCTCCTTGATGATGTGCATCATTTTGACCAAATCAAGCATTTAGTTGGGGATCTAAGTTGGTTTGGCCCAGGAAGCAGGATTCTCATGACGGTTGGAAATAGTAATGTTCTTGATGGTTACGGAAATGGAGTGGCTTATAAGTATGAGGTTGGAGAAATGGGGCCTCCTCAAGCTCTTAAACTTTTCCACATGCATGCTTTTCGTGAGTGTACTCGCGAAGAGGAGGATGAGTATGATTCTCTGTCGAAAGACATTGTTGGCATTATTGGAGGTATTCCATTTGCTATTGAAGTAACAGCTTCATTCTTGCATAAGAATAAGGGGGGAAGGCGAATATGGCAACATACATTGGATACCTTAAGAAGGAGGCCAGAAGATAAAGTCCAAAAAGTGATCCAGTTAAGCTATGACTCTTTGCATGAAGAGACGCAAGAGATATTTCTCGATATAGCATGTTTTTTCATTGGAACGGATCACAAAATTCCCCCGTACATGTGGTGTGCATGTAACTATGATCCAAGAGGAATCATGATTCTCTGTGACATGGGTTTAGTCAAAATAGGAGAAAACAGTGAATTATTGATGCACAATCAACTAAGAGAGTTTGGCAGGGAAACTGTTAGGAGGCAAGATCCCCATGAGCCTCGAAACCGAAATAGGTTATGGAATCACGTTGATGCACTTTCCACGCTTAATGGAGAGCAGGTATACTTTTCAAGCATAAGATCTTTTAGTTTAAACACAGTCAGCAATCTTTGAAGATACTTCCTTTCCTTAATTTTTCTTTCCCAAAATGAAGCGTGAATGGCTATATTTCATTTCCCTTTCTACTTATTCAGTTCCCTCGATTTGCAGAGTCTTAGTAGTGTGGAAGCCCTTGGTCTCACATTTGACGAGGGACAAAGTGAATGTTTTAGATGTGAAAGATTTAGCCATCTAGGGCGCTTGAGGTTCTTGAGATTGGACAGGGCTACTGTTGGAGGGAGTTCTTGGGATGTATTCGGCTATCTAGGGCGCTTGCGTTTGCAGATATTGGACCCGGCCACTGTTGGAGGGAGTTCTCAGAATGTTATTTCAAATTTAAGGTGGCTTGATTGGCAAGGGTGCAGCCAGATCTCTGAACTACTTATTTTCCATTTGGAGAAACTGGTCATTCTTGATCTATCTCGTAGTAAGGTCACTGGAGGTTCACAAGTATGGGGACAAATCCTGAAGGTAAAGTGCATATTTGTCTATGTATCCTGGGATTATTTGGATAGCTAGCACCAACTGAGCCTATTCTGTCCTCTTTTCTCGCAGAAGGCAAAGGAATTGAAAGTTTTGGACCTCAGTAGCTGTCGTGACCTGAATGCTTTTCCAGACTTCCGTGCTTCGATGTACTTAGAGAGATTAGTCCTGGAACGTTGTTCGGCACTATCCCAAATTGGTCCATTGATAGGTAATCTAAAGAACTTAGTCTCCTTAAATCTTAAGTTCTGCACATTCGTCAGCGCCTTGCCGCAAGAACTGTGTCATATGAAAGATTTGGAAGAACTTCTGATTGATGGAACTGCCATTAAGAGGATTGATTTCGAACTAGCGTCCATGAAGAAACTTAAGATTCTGAGCGCTTGCCAATGTGGAAGTTTGGCTCATGTATCACCCTCTATTGGTCACTTGGAATCTCTTGAGCATCTTCGACTGGATGGTGCCGCTATTGAACGCCTACCAGAATCTATTAAGTCCTTAAAGAAACTTCGGAGGCTGCTTCTAGGAAATTGTCAGAATTTACTTGAGCTTCCTGGTTCCATTGGGAATCTTGAGTCACTGGAAGTCATGGATCTATCCAGCACCAAGATTGCTAGTTTACCTAGGTCCGTCAAGCATTTGAAAAATTTGAAAGTGCTGAAGATGGAGAATACTCACTTAGAAAAATTCCCCAAAGATATAAAAAATCTAGAAAAGCTGGAAGAGATAGATCTTTCAAAATGCTGGAATCTGAAGGCGTGGATTGTCTGGGATATCAGAGGATTATCCTCTTTGAAAATCTTGAATTTAGCATCTACCAAGATTTCTGGCCTACCCTGGACCCTTCCATTGCTCTCTGATCTCCAACAATTAGATTTAAGTGAATGTGACCAACTTTGGGATTTGCAAAGACTTCCATCAAGTTTAAGCATTCTTCGCTGGGGATCCAAAAAAATGTGGACGGTGCCAGACCTTTCTTTCTTGAGAAACTTGAAAGAGCTGTACTTGAGTGATAACTTTGATCCTACTGATCCAATGAAGAATTCTTCCTCTGAGCCACCAGAAATTGGATGGTTAACAAGACTAGCGAATCTAGAAATCTTGGAGTTGTGCCTCTCAAACATCACCAAGCTACCTGAACATTTTAATAAACTTCAACTTAGAAAACTTGTTTTGCACCACGCAAAATTGCGTGACCTCAGAGAGCTACCCTCTAGCTTATCGGTATTGTGCCTCCAGCGCTGTGTGATTCAATGTTCACAATTTTCTACGGTGAGAAGTCTATCTGAATTAGAACTCGAAAACTGTCTCCTGGCAGCGACTGTCAGTCTTGATAATTTGAGGCGATTGGAACTTCTGAAAATATCCCACTGCTATGTGCGAACACTTGATGGGCTGGAAAATTTGCCTCGTTTTAGAAGGCTCACTTTAGACGCCTGCCCTTCATTGACCGGATTACCTGATCAAACAAACCGTACATTCGAAATCGATGGGTATAGTTTCCCAGAAGAACAAATAGTCGGCACTTATGTTGCTCGCACCTAGGGTCAGAATATTGTGGGAATGCTTCAAGAATGATTCCGACTTATGAGTGAAGATCTTGCTGCACAACGGATCTTCGGTCTATCTTCAATGACAAGTCGGAGGCTTTTCTGGAAGGTAAATATTGTTACTTTTTGCTTTCCTCGACTTGAACATCTGTACACTCCATGATGCACCAGTTGGTCTTCTTCTCTTTCGGCTAAGACGCTGCGTGCAGTCAAATTTCTGTGCAGTGTTCTCTCCACCTCGTGTGGGCTTGGAACTTCTCTGTTGGAAGGCCCGACCTTGTGGGTTTGGACGGGCAAGTTTGTGCTTTGAAATCTTCTACTAGCTTTTGATTCTAATTTCTCAATTCTTATATTTTTTTTATTCTTTTAGTGAAAACGCATAAACGGTAACTGGATCACAGAACCAACATAAAACTAACAAAAAAAAGATTGTTACTAGATAATTTAATTTGCCAGTGCTTTGTGCATGAAATCATGAAACATTCTTGACATTTTAATTTCTTTATTGTGCGCTCGTTTTTGTCATTCAGAAGAAGTTTGTGACAGATTTACTAGCAATTTACCAGGTGGGCTGGGATGGATACTCAATATCAGAACGATGATTGGGCAAAGACTACTTGGTGGAGGAGGAGAGGTGGCCGGCTCTTTTGTTTGAATGGGAGATTTGTAGCCTTGAAGTCCGGGGGATGCACGTGGAGAAGATAAGCCGATGGGACTCGAGCGCGGATGCGTGGAGTCGCATACTGCTCCTTCCTTTTTGGGCCGAGGCTTGAAAGATTGACAGGGGAGTTGCAGCTGTAGTGTTGCAGAGTTTTAACTCTCAATCTGGGACGATGTCGGTAACTTTAAAGTAGCAATAATAGCGCATTTCCCCTACCCGTGTGTCGGTGTTGCAACGAGCGTCAAATGGGTAATCATTGTCTCATATCTGTTCTAATCAGTACACCGATCCCTAGTCTGTATTCTGCTACTTCCATCAGGCACTGCATTTTTCCATCAAACATTGATGTGCTGCATTATCCGCTGTGCTCGAGCTCTCTTATTCGAAGGCTTATTATGCGACGGTCATACGATGTTAGCACTTCCAAAGGCCAAAATAATTCGTTCGTGTTTCTCAAAAAGGATTGTCCACCATAAAAGCTTATTATACTACATTTGGCCATGTGATAAGGAGAAGAACCTACGTGCTTCTGTTCTACGATGATCATTTTCTTTCTCTTTCTGTTTTCTTCGCTATTGAGAATGGGGATTCGTGGGTGATTTTCCAGAGGAAGCCTCCAAGATGCAACTGGAACTAGAATACATCATGGGGTTATCTTATCGTCTTAAGCTACACTTGTCAAATGGGCGGATCGAGTCGGGTCATAAATAGTCCGACTCAAATTGACCTATTAACCCGTTTATGATCAATTTATTTGTAATGTAAATTTTTCGACCCATACGCATACCCAATCCGACTCGACCCCATTCATATTGCTTAAACACTTACATATTTAACCAAATTTAGGAAAATTTGTTAACTTACGATTTTAAAAAAAAATTATATCACTAAAACACTTTCATGCAATACAAATTTAGTGGACGATTTTTATAAATTTTTTTTAAAATTGAGTCTTTGATTTGAGGAAAATGTGATATTTCTGAAGTCATTTTCTTTTGCAATATTTTTCGGTGTTTAGTTGAAACTTGAAAATGAATTAGAAAATATTTTCTACCGTTTAGTATGGAAAATTTGATTTGATTTTCCTCCGTGCACTCATTTTAATAATTTTTATTTTTAAAAAAAATCAAAAAAATTAATTTTTTTTATTTTTTATTTTATTTTTCCTTCTTCTTTGGCCGGTTGTAGGTGACCAGCCATAGGCAAGGGATGAGCTCGCTAATCCAGCGAGGTCGCGCTCGCCCGAGGCCGATGGGCTCGAGCTTCATTGGAAGTCACCGTGGCCTACCATTGGCCGAGGAAGAAAGAAAAAAAAAAGAAAGAAAAGAAAAAAAAGGAAAGAAAAAGAAAATAAAAAGTAAAAAGAAAACAAAAAAATTATAAAAAATTCAGAAATTTAAAAAAAAAAATAAAATTCAGAAAACTTTTTAAAAATAAAATTCACTTAAGTTTTTAGGTAACACATTTATGACCCATTTAATACATATTGAAGACCTAGTTAACCTGTTTATGATTCATTTAAGTATGTTTTTAAAATTTAAGGCAACCCATTTATGATCCACACTATTAAATATGGGTTGTAATGTGGGTTATAGACCTATTTTGCCACCTCTATCTTAAACTTCTGCTATGATGGGGACACTACATGTAGACTATAACTATATATAAAGTGAAAAACCTCGAACTCTTCTTCTAGGAGAGGAAAATGCAGAGTGCTTCCACGTATCCTTTGGAAGATGTTGTTTGATATGGATTTCAAGTATGGATATATTTACCGTGTCACGAGAAATATTGGAGCATCTTGAATATTACTGTTTGTCTATCATTAGATTCTTTGTTCACGTGGACACCTTAAATATTTTCGTGTTCCCTTCAAGCAACAGCCAAGAACACTGTTTGTCATGACAACCTTCAGCCGCGCAAACACCTTCAAATTTTCTGAGTGACTACAGTTGGCTTTTTTATCCTCAAAGTGACGAATATGTGCATGGAAGCTCCACCTGGTCGAAATAACTACATAAGTAAGCCTTACTAGCAGTAGATTCATTTGATTGTGGAATGATTCATCGAGAAGATCTCTGGCACTTGCATTTAGCTGCGTCAATGAATGTATTGACTGTACCAATCTCTAGCTTATGCAGGAGTAACCTCACTTTATCATGTACTGTTCTATTGTGGTAGTACGTGAAGAAGAATCGCTCCTCTATGCTGAAGACGGCTTAATGAAACCCTGCAGAGTGAGTCTCTTGAATGAAGTTGGATCTCTACTTCCTATTGATAATATTCGTTCGGAGTTCTGAAAAATATAATAGACTGCGCAAAGCTAGTTCAACAATAAAGAATGAAACCCTGAAGAGCGAGTCTCTTGAATGTACTCAACGTGTCACGTAGGACGGTCGGTATCCACATTAACGATTTCCGGTTAAAATGAGCTGGATGGACTCAATATATGACATAAATGTCAACATGTTTAGGATTAAATTGGCCTAATTAAACAGTTTAGAACTGAATTGATATCAATGCAATAGGTTTATAACTTTTTTATTATTTTTCCTTGCATATTTCAAACGTGGATATTTGATTGGATTTGTCTCTTTGGAAAGTGAATACGTAACACGTCTTCATTTTGGACTTCGTCTCATGGGCTGAAGATTTGCTATCATGGGTTGGAAGCATTATCGCGTCTAGTACTACCATGTCTGGCCCAAACAAAGGTCCCGCAGGCGCAAACCTAGTGACCTATGCACGTAGACTCACTTACTCTTCTAATTTTTTGTCATTTAGCTTAATCGAATTGCGCTGTTAACATGAAGGTTAAGAAACTAACAGTTATTGGATGTGTTGGTCCTGTTGAAGGGGTGAAGAAATTTAAGGAAGGGCATACGGAGATTTCAACGGTTGGACCGGCTAATGAGCCGGGAAAGAAGGAGAACCCAGATGCATGGCGTTCTATTTCGATTGTCTGCTCGAAGATCTTGTTGAATCGAACTCAAGCTTGCCGATTCTCAAGCTCGCGTGCACAACTTGACGGGTGCAGGAGCTAATAGAGTTTCTGTTATAAACGTTAATTACTTGTTAAAAATAGACATTGGTATCATCAAAAGTGTACAATAAACATATGTTATTCAAGCTTTTTCGAGCTCGAGCTTGAGCAAATTGGTTGTAATCAAGTTGGGTCGAGTTTCGGTCATCAAATATATGAGTCCAGTTGAGCTCGAGCTTGGACAATATGACTCGACTCGGTTATACCCCTAGTAACATCTTTATTTTTCTTTGGCTCTCTCAATGTTGAGATCATTAAAGTAATTTTCATAGGGATGGGGATATTGCATACCGGTTAGTTAACATATTACTAATCTATTTGGGTGTTGGCCTGATGTTATTTATTTGAAACAAACCAAATCGATCATGAACCGAAGTTATCGGTTTGGTTTGAATTGTGATTTGGTTTGGGTTGAGATTTTTCCAAATCTATAATAGTTCGATTTGGGTTGAAAGTGAAGGGACGTATCGAGAACCGAAACAGAACGATCACGCAGAAAAATAGAGAAAATAGACGATGCACGAATTTACCCAGGTTCACCCTCGATTAGGGCTACGTCCTGCAAAGAGATTTCACTATGTTTTCGGTTTATAGCCACTCAACTCGTTACAATAATCAGAAAAACGAGTAAAATATATATATATGCCCCAAACGGGCCCAAAACCTAAACCTATATGAAATCTCTTAATCTCGCACCATACGGGCCAGCCCAAACCCGTTGAGGTTTGGGCGCTGCCCCCGAGCCCCCTTGGCCGCTCACCGGCGAGCAGGGCGGCCGATCCATTGACGGTCGAGGCGGAACCCCCGTCGGGTAGCGCCCCCGAGACCCCCCGCCGTGATCGGGCGGCAGGGGCCACAGTGTCAGGGGCGCTGCCCGAACCCCGCATTCCGCACGCATGGGTCATATGTCGTCGGACAACACTTCAGTTTCCCTAAGCTCACGTGGGCGTATCCGGTGTGAGAAACAAGGGTCCCCGAAGTATTCGCCAACTCCAACAGAAAGTACCTTGAAAACAAATCAGACAGAACCAAGAACATCCTACAAATAGCTGCGAGCTTCAAAGGGTTCAAATTCAAAATCACAATGCTTCTATCAATTTGACATTTCCAAAACTTTCGCACTTTTCAAAGAATCTCAAACAAACACGAAGACGAATTCTAGTCCCCCAATACCCCTCCATTTCGTCTTTCTCTCCCCTCTCTTTGGTTTGCACCTCGACATGTCATGGACCGAAGGTTTTCGAGGTGCAACGTTCATTAGTGGGGGTTGAACACCAGTCCCGCCACATGTTCATTTGTGACTCGAGAGGATTACCAGGACCAGGAGGGCTATGCGTGTTGTGGAATGGAAATTTGGATGTGGAGGTGCCAGTCCTGCCATCGGGTAGTGCTCATAACAAGGCTAGTCCTAGTCCTAAACCCTGATAAGTCTTAAGCCGGTCTTTTGATGATTAGTATATAGATGTGCAGGTAGACATAAATGACAGAAGAACTGCATTCAGATTAACGGTACCTCATGCTCCTATGGAATGCCGGAATCTTTAGCATCTGTGGCATCATCTGAAGAATTTAGATGCAC